GTACTGACAGCAGAGAGCCTGATTCAGGGCTTTATGCCACAGACCACGAGATCACAACCTGAGCTAAAGTCAGACACTCAAAAGACTGAGCCACCCAGGTGCCCCTCCTAACCTTATTTTAAAATTTCCACTAGTTGCAAGTGCCACAAACACTTTGTTCCTTCAGTACAAGTTATAAAGTAAGTGCTCAATAAATGAATGTGAATGAATGAATGAATGGGACATCACTATATAAGTCTACAAGTGTCGCCTATCCTAGAAACAGGTCATGGAGCGACTCTTAGACCCTTTGGGATTGGTTCCCTATTCCCTTACCATCCCTGACCATTGAAGGTCATGTTCATTACCACTTAAATGGGGCCTGGTTGGGGGTTAACATACAAGGAAATATATTCAGTAAAGTGTCATTTTGAGACTCTGGTCCCTGCAGCCTACACAAGGCTACACAGTAATGGCCAGTGAAGCATTTGCGGTGCTCCCCAGTCTCTCTGAAGTGCCTAGGGGAGTGGTACTTGGCAAACAGCACCCTATCACTGCTCCACACGCCTGGCCAGCCCTTCACTCACCATGAGGAACAGAAAGCTGCCTGATAGCTTGCTGCCTGGGAGCATCTGTTTAGCTGGCATTGACTCCTGTGGGAACAAAGCCAATGAGCCTGGGTGAGGAGAGGAGAAATCAGTCAAGATTAGAAGAAGGACGGGGAGGAGGAGGAGGAAGAGGTGGTGGTGGTTGGGGAGTGCAGTGCTTTGTTACATTGAAGACTTAGCAGGCCTTTTAATTTCTACAGCAAAGCACAGAGGAATTCATTGTGGAAATGTCTGGAAGCCTCTGGTTGGCCCCATGTTGCAAACCCTACTTCATGGAAGCATGGGGCAGAGGGGTGAGGTTTGCTGCAGCGTTCCACGCTTTCTACGTCCCCCTTAGGGGACGACACCAGACAAAGGCTCTTCTTGAATTTCTCAGGGACCACCATGTGGACGAATTTCCATGTGGGAATACAAATGTCTACTATTCTACCTGGAGGGAAACTAGTAAGGAAAGTCTTCCAGGTCACACGTTTTAAAAATGAAGGCTCAGACAAGTCACTTCCAGTTGACCAACCCTTTAATAAATCATTCCCCATAACTTTCAGCCCCTCAGGCCATTTACACAACAGCCAGGCTCAGGTTCGCTCTGCCTGACAAATAAGATTTCTACAACACCACAGTTTCCCCGGGTTTGATACTCTGAATATTTACTTTATTTTCACTGACCTATGAGCTCCACTAAGGAACAGACTCGATGTTATTTGACTTCTATTTCCAGAGCCTGGCAAGGTGTCTGGTAAACACAGCAATTCAGTGAATGTCTGTTGAGTGAGTGCTTCCATGCATGTTTTTACCATGCGGGGAAAAAAGTCTGGTCTCAGCGAGCAGGTAGGTTGGTAAATAGTTGGTGCTTTTCAGGATAACATTAAGTAGAAGCTAGCCCTATGATCTCCCATGAACACTACCCCTTTTAGGATGCTTACCACATTAAGCATCCCATTACGGTTTTTTTTCAGTACACCTACAAATTACTCCCTGTAACTTCCTTGGAAGCAAGAACCAGGTGTTCCTGCTTCAATTATTTCATCCATCCCTTTGCCCGGTAAATGAACCAGACAACTGAATGAGTGAATGTTTATTAGCCAAACCATATTAGAGCCTCAGGTCTATCAAAATCTTCCAACACAATCACTGAAGTCTTTTTAAAAGTAAGTTCAGCCGCCCGAAAAACACTTGCAGAAACAAATGCTGGCACATCAGCCAAAGACAACGCTCGTATGACGACATCAACACCAAGTAGCAGAGGAAAAAAACAGCTTTAAGGCACATGCAGAATGGGAAAAATGTGAACCATGGAAAGCCTGGCCGGGCCCAGAACACAGGAGACAGGGGATGACAGCCAGGGTAGGCTACAGAATATGGCAGCAGCCAAAATTTGTGGATAATTCACAATGCAGATTAACCGTGTCAATGAAAGGAACTGCATTCACAGCACTGACATAGATCAAGTCTGTGGGTAATTTGTCAGGTGTGTTGAAGCCAGGGATTTGTCCAGGGAATGTGGAAGAAAGTGGTCGTGCATGGTGGCAAATGGACTGAGAACAGAGGCCAACAATGTGTGGAGGGAAGCCTTGATTCAGAAGGCAGGGTTTCTCTCTGCTGCAGGATTCCCTTATAATTAACCAATTAAGGCCAAAGCTTCATTTCCTGTGGCAGTTTTCTCTGCCACACAGAATGAGGTCACAGCCCTAACCACACAGATCTATAGAGCATCTGGGTGATGAAGAATGGCTTCAGATATGCTTGGATCATTCCCCGGAGATGATTGGACACATGTGTGGTATTCTTAGCCTCAGTAGGAAGAGTTTCCCAGAGGAATCAAAGTGTATTCTGACACCAGCTTTTAAGTCCTTATTTACATCCTTATCACATGACTCTAACAAAAGAGATAGAATATTACTGGATCTATTAAGCAACCCTAGAAGCTGCAATAGATCAATCAGGCCTCCATCAACTCTGAAATAACCAATTGTAGCATTATTCTGTACCACTAAATGTGATTCTCTATGTGAAAAGAATTATTTTTAACATTTATTTTTGAAAGAGAGAGACAGAGCATGAGTGGGAGAAGGGGAGAGAGAGAGGGAGACACAGCAGGCTCCAGGCTCTGAGCTGTCAGCACGGAGCCTCATGCAGGGCTCGAACCCACAAACTGTGAGATCATGACCTGAGACCAAATCCCGCGCTTAACCGACTGAGCCACTCAGGAGCCCCGAAAAGAATTATTAATATAACTTATTATGTATGTGAAAGAATTATTTACACTCTAAGGAGCCACTGGGATTTAACAAATCACTGTTAGTATTATTTAGATGATGTCAATTTCTGAGAGAAACCATTAGTATTTATTGGCTATCAGAATTTTACAAACAGAAGAATCTACAAATAGAAGGGATGGATTGTACCTAAGTCTGTGAAAGGAGTGGAGGGAAACTGACAGGATGGGCAGAAAAATCAAATATCAGAGAGGCACAAGAGGCATTGCTGCATTATTCTAGATGAGTTAATTATAAATTTGTGTGTGTTGTTTTGGCCAAGAGACTGTGTTACCACCACAAGCAGAAAACTCTCCCGCTGTCCTTTTTCCTTACGTTTTACAAGAATGGGAGGTCAGAGGATATTTATGGAAGCACACTAAAGCATGAAAATGCAGCCAAGCCTTTTGCCTCTTCAGTTTACCCGGCTTTTCAGCTGAAAGGTTCAGGGGTAAAAAGGATGAGAAGGCAAAGGCTAGGGCTGACTATGCTGCTTTCCTCCTCCTAATAAGACAGTGGGACCTGATACTGGGGGTGGGGCTGGGGGGGGTGGAGTTAAAAAAAAAAAAAAAGCGGGGGAGGCCATGGAAGGACCTAATGAGCTTGTGCCACAATTAGAGGATAAGTCAAATGATAGGAAGCCTGAGACCAGGAGACGCTCAGAGGCCAAGAGTGACAGAAGAGGAACCCAGAATACCGGTAGCATTCAAAGAGGTGGCTTCCTGGCTTGTGTGTGTTTCATCTCTCAGAGTGTAGCTTTCTTAATAATCTTCCTTAATAATCCGTTCAGGGAGGGCTGGTGCACAATGAGGAGCCCTGCAGTGCAGGCAGGATGCAAGCCCCGCCCTTCGGGGAAGGTTGTGACATCCCTCAGCCAGAGGAAAATTCCGACTCCCTTGATGAGGTGAGGACAGCATTTCTACAGTTTTCCTCTGTGTCAGGAACAAGGCTGGGGTACAGGGGCCAGGGCTGGTAAGATTCTGAGACAGGTGAGCTGCAGAGCTTCTTAATTAGAAACAGGAATTGAGGAAAGAGCCTACAGTGCAGAGGGAGAAAGACAATCTCATGCGCAAATTCATGAGAAGGGTAGCCTCTGGGGAAAAGGCTAGGATTGGAGGGGTGGCCAAAGGCACTCAGTCTTGTCTGTAATGTTCATATTTAAGAAGACAATGTATTCATGTGTTAAACTAATCTTTAAAAAGTCTTATATTTAAGAGAGACATAGAGGGAAGTGAGGGAGAGGTAGGAAGAAAGGATGAAAGACACAACTAACAGCCTAGGTCTCCTTGTAAAGGTCTCCCTGGATGCTGGAATAAGGCGACCCACAGGGGTGGGGCTCAGAAGCAATGGAAGACACATGGAGCAAATCACAATGGGGTAGGATCCTAATCCAGAATTCCCTGGGTCACAAAAGGGCATGGAAGAAACAACAACAGAATTCTGATATAAAACAGTGAAAAGAAAAAGCGCCCCCGCCGCGCCCGGCGCGGGGGTCCTAGCACATACTGCCTGTCAGATTGGCGGTCCAGTTCCCCACTCTTCTTACACAGTATGGAATGAATTCCCACTTCCCGGAACTGGGGCCAGAAACTCAAGCAACCTCTCTGCTCTTAGGTCCTCTCTGCCAACCATGCCCTTGATTGTGGAGAAACCTACAGCCTGGGAATTGCAAAGAGATATAAACAGGAAGGCGGCACTTCATGTGGACCACCCTGCCCTCTCTCAAACTTTCTACCAATGCAATTCCACCCCACCCCTAACTTGGCCCACCCAGTAAGCTCCTGAAGAATGAGTACTTCTGTCATACATTCAGGGGCTTCCCTCTCAAGGGGGGCTTTCTTGGGGAGAATGCCCCGGAAGGGTGGAGACCACCTCGCTTGAAAGGAGATGACCTCTAAGTTTGTGGTCCTGTCTGCTGGGCTCAGGTGAGCCGCCAGGGAAAGGCATCGCCCAGCGTAGCTGTAGGTAGGGGGCCCTTCTGATTTCTCCGTTAGCCATCTCGTCTGCACCATACCCACTACTTTAGCTCCTTAGGGCTCTGCAGGGGAACTGATCTGGGATCCCCTTGAGGACGGAGGGGGGACGGAGAACCCCTTCTAGAGATTAGGCGGGAGGCGCTGGGGGAGGGGAGCTGGGAGTGGGAGGAGCAGACAGTTACCTCATTGAAGCCCTCCTGCAGGACGTCCAGTAAGTTCCCCCGGGTCAAGCAGGCTAGCATTGTTCCTGGCGGGGGCTCCCGGGCGGGGTCTCCAGGCCAGGCGGCCGCCGCCACCGCCTCCTCCCTCTGCACACAAAGACTCTCCGCTCAGCTCACGGGGATCTCTCCGGAGTCCCGCAGGCCACTTACTGGAAACCTAGACCGGAGCCAAACTAGCGGCTTCCACTGGGCATGCTCGCACCGGGGCCTCTGCCGGAGGGGCCCGGGCGCTGTCGCGGTTCCTATAGAAACAGCTGGGCGCGCAAAGGGTGGAGGGGCGCTGGCTGGCAGCCCCCCGCCCCGCGTGCGTAAGGGGGAGCACCGCGGGCGCGCGCGGGCGGGCAGGCGCACGCGCGCGCGCGCGCGCGCACACACACACACACACACACACACACACACACACACACACACACACTACGTACAATACACACACAACAGGCTGGGGGCGGGCGTGTGTGCCTACGCTGCAGACACACACCAGGCCTCCAGGCGGGCGTGCCGGTGTGTGCGCGTCCTGCGAGCATACACACACGTGAGCGCACACACACTCGTTGACACACCAGCAGGCGTGCCGGCGTGTGCATGTGCTTGCAATCACACACTAGCATACCACCAGGTCTGCAGGCAGGCATGCTGGAGTGAGCGCGCGGAGACACACACACACACTCTTTCTGCTGATTTAAGGCCAAGTGCCCCACCACAAGATGGGTGGGGAGGGGAGTGAATCAGGATTTTTTTCCCCCAGACTAGCTAAAAACAGCAACCTTTTTCCACAAGGGGCCTGGGCAGTGAGGTTAGGCTAAGGAAGCGGAAGCAGAAGGGACAGAAAAAAAAAAAAAAGTGAGATAAACCAGCCAGAAGGAGAGGGGAAAAAAGAGGATAGATAGAACTTTAGTTACTGATGGTATCAGCAAACATTTACTAGAAGTGGTGCTTAAATCACACAGGATCACAACAGAAACATCGAGGGAAAACCAAGTATCACTAAGGCTATGCTCCAAAAAGCCTCTCTTTTTTTCTTTTAAAAATAGCCGCTAAAAGGTAAGGCCCATATCTTTAGTGAGCTTTAAATGAATTAAATGGATTTTAATTAAAATAAACACTACAAAAATGTCCTGGAGCTTTTGAAAGAGTTAGGCAAAAACTTGCTCAAATGAAACAGAGAGCTATTCCCCTCTGTTGCTAGTTATTCAAGTCACAGCCTTGATTATTTATTTTTAGGAATACCAGTCATTTTGTACTGTTCAGCGCACATTCTTGTTTCTATAGGAAAACAGGAAGCTGAAAGAACACCCCATATTATGTTACACCTCGTGATCCCAGATGGAGGGGAAGGATTTACAGAATGTTAAGGCTCAGAAAAGGTCAGGGCCTTGCCCAGGGACACAGCTGGTCAGCGACAAAGACAGTTTGAGGAGCTAGGCTCTACCCTCATGCTTTTGCAGAAGGCCCACATTCCTTCCCCAAATTCCCATTGGTACCTTAGCAAGAAAAGTCAGTAATGGCTCTTTTCAACCTAAGACTTCCTCCTCCTCAGGTCACTAGAGAAAAAGAAAATCTGTACCCCAAACATCCTGAATCATCTTGCCTGAATGTCTGAAGCTGCTAAACACAAAGATACTTCTGAGAAAGACACACTTCTTCTAGGATGGCAGCAAGCAGGAAGCAGAAGGCCAGCAGAGGTGTTAAGTGGGTGCTGCTGATTGAATGAATGCTGTGTGTTCAATTCTGCAAAGGCTGGGGAAAAGCCATGACTCCAAATCAAACTGCACCTGATCAGCCCAAAAGTCAGAAGACCACCGTCCTTCATAACTAGCTGGGGAATTTAACTACCAAAAATTCCCCTTGCCATGACCACAGCTCACGGTGTAATATCATCAGGTGAGTGACTAACCCATATTACTGCAACAAGGCCCCTTTAAAAGAGAAGCATGAAACTTCCAACAACGTAAAATTGTAGGCAACACATCTATGTGCATAGTGATGCAAAACCAGAACACTCAGTCAGTAGATCCCTAAATAGATTCTGACAGCCCATCATGCTTTTACACAGTCGAATATATTGAGACTTCAGAGGGAGGCCCTGCGGATAGTTATATACGAAAAGGTCCCTGTTTCTCAAAGAACAAGTCCTTTTTCAAAGTAGGACCTGTGAGCTCAATATTCCTGGGAAAATTCTCATTAGATCCCTGGATTTTAAAGCTAAAAAGATGAAGTTTCATTTGACTCTCATGAAGGAATGAAGCCTAGGGGAGTTATTTACAGTCACTTAGCAAATCAGCATGGGCGCTAAGATCTGAACCCAAATGCCTCTGATGCTCAGCCCTGTGCTATTTGCCCTGCACCCCCCAGTACACTGGAGGAATTAGAGGGAACTGTGGTGAATAGATACAAGATTTATTACAGGGCACTCGGTCCACAGTTACACTATTCCCTAGAAGTCTGTAATTATGTCAACCACATACTCTCTAGTAGTCATGTGCAATGTGATGGTGGGAATGTTCTATATCTGTGACGTCCAATCCAGTGGCCAGTGGACACTGGCTACATGTGTTTATTGAGCACTTAAAATGTGTCTGTTGTGGGGCGCCTGGGTGGTCTAGTCGGTTGAGCATCTGACTTGGGCTCAGGTCATGATCTCACGGTTCGTGAGTTCAAGCCCCACATCAGGGCTGGATGCCATCAGCACAGAACCAGCTCTGGATCCTCTGTCCCCCTGTCTCTCTGACCCTCCTCTGCTAGTACTCTCTCTCTCCCTCTCTTTCTCTCTCTCTCTCTCTCTCTCAAAACCAAACATTAAAAAAAAAAAAAACCGTGGCTATTGCAAATGTGGAACTAAAATTTCAATAGCATTTAATTTTAATTCGTTTAAATTTAGATAGTACCATTTCAAAATATTCTGTGTTTTCCCCCACACAACTAATGAGATGTTCCAAAAATTATATTTGCACAAATAGTCTGCCTCTCATGCTTGGAAAAAGCACAAAATTCCTGTTAGAGCATGTAATCTCAAGGTTTTTTTGCTCAGAAGATGTGCTCACCTTATTTATCATGGTCTACCTAACCAAATAGCCCAGGTGAAGAACTGAGCTTGTTCTAAGCAGCACTCACAATTACTATTCCTTCCATCTTCCCCATCTCACTCTGCTGTGATATCAACATAAGAGCTGAGAGAGTAAGTGGGTTAGCTAAACGAACCAGGAATAACTAGGCCAATGATCTGCATCTCATAGTGCTGGAGTGTGGGGAAAACTGCAAGCCAGTCCAGGTAGCTGGAACCACTCCCACCACTGCTGGCTTGTCATTCTCTCTGCCTGGGAGGAGAGGCAAAGGGTCCAAGCAAGCTGCTTTCTGCATATCTCTGCCATGCTGCCTGATTTCTGAAATTATACCAGACCTCTTCAGTCCTATATGATTTTAACAATAATGGCAGAGACTTACCTCACCAACTAAAAGCTACACAAATATCTATCTACAACAATAATAATAGCAAAATTGAACTTTTATTATGTGCCAAGTCCAATACTAAGTGCTTACATGTTAGCTCAGTTGATGGTCACAATTACCATAAACAGTAGGAATTGTTTATTAACCCCATTTTATAGATGAAGAAAGAAAGGTCTAGAGGATAAGTAATTTGCTCCAGATCCTATTGCTGCTAAGTGGTGAAACCAAAGTCTGGCTTAATCATTATGCAATACTTATATGATGCTTTCCACACAAAAGGTATTCAGTAAATGTCGGGGCACCTGCGTGGCTCAGTGGATTAAGCAACTGACTCTTGATCTCAGCTCAGGTCATGATCTCATGGTTCGTGGGATTGAGCCCTGCATCAGGCTCTGCATTGACAGCATGGAACTGGCTTGGGTTTCTCTCTCTCTCTCTCTCTCTCTCTCTCTCTCTCTCTCTCAAAATAAATAAATAAACTTTAAAGAAAAAAGTTACTCAGTAAATGTGTTTAGTTGGATGAATGAATGAATGAATGAATGAGTGGAGGAAACACTGGCAAACTCATTCATCACTTATATTAACACAGATAATAACATGTTAGCCTAAGTAAGACTTTGAGCTTTAAACAGAACTGTCATTTGGTAAAAATTCTGACTGGGACTTCTGCCTATGTAGAAGTAAAATGTGTGAAATTCATACCTATGTAAATTTAATACATCTATTGTAGGCAATCATTAATGACTATAAAGAAGCAGAAAGGCAGTCTGAATAAACAAATAATTAAAATTGTCAATGGAAATATTTTAAATGACCCTGAAATAATTTCTTAATCTTTTTCTGTTTTCATACATTAGCGAGTTTCTTGGCAGTAATGTATGTTTACAATTTCTACTGCATTTATCTTCAGAGACATCAGCATAAATGTACACAAAAGGGCTCACATCTACCGGCAAAGGCTACAAACGTGTCCTGGCTCCTAAACTGCTCTCTTTGTCTCCAGGCTTTCCTGCTAGTCTACACCCCTTAATCTTCCTTAGACAATGCATTCATCTTGCTGCTCAAATGCTCAAATGTTTTCAAATAATCCCTTTTCCCATCAGATATAAATTCCTCATGCCCTGCTCTTACGGCTGTCCCCCAAATTGCCTATGCTCAGGTTGGCAGGCTCCTCACTGTCTCCCACATTTCCAGGGCTCATTTTTGCCTCCCATGCCTTCATGACTGTCCTGTCTAGAATGTCCCACGCTTCTGCTACTCAAATCCTTATTATGCCTACCTCAAGTTCTGCTTCCTCATGAAACTCCTGTGACTACTTTTGGTTTCTCTTAATCAGGATGGATCTGATTTTAATCAGTCTGGAACCCCCACGCCCCAGATAACCCATGGTTCATTCTTCAGGTTTCTGCTCAAATATCACTTTATCTCTTTGGCCTTCTCTGACCACTCTATTTAAAATGACAACACTCCCTCACTCAGGCACTCCCAAACTTCTTTTGCCTGATTTATTTTTATTTTTCTTCCTAGTATTCATCACTGTCCTCTATAGTCTATATTTATTTGCTCATTTGCTTATTGTCAGTCTCTCCCTGCCCAGAATATAAGGTCCATGAAAGCAGGGAATTTTGTTATGTTTTGTTACTGGTTTATCTCTAGAACCAAAAATATTTCCTGGCACATAAGTAGATGCTCAATAAATCAATATTCCTCTTTTTATAATCCAAAGGTCATGGGTGCCTGGGTGGCTCAGTCAGTTGAGTGTCCAACTTCGGCGCTGGTCATGATGTCATGGTTCGTGTATTTGAGCCCCACATGGGGATCACTGTTGTCACTGTGGAGCCCACTTTAGATCCTCTGTCCCTCTCTGTAACTGCCCCTACCCCACTCACACTCTCTCTCTCAAAAATAAATAAGCATTTTTTAAAAGTCTATATAATTCAAAAGTCATCATGATGAGAACAAAAGCAAGAAAATTTAACTAAATAAATCTTACAACTTGCAGCCCACTGATAAATATCTGAGGCATGCAGAGCATGACATTCATCAAGGAACTGATGGCTGCCTTAATGTTGATATTTTATTAGGGACTAAAAGCAACTTCATCTTAACAACAGCCAGATCTCCAAGGTCCTGTAGTCCCTGCTTTCAGCATACAGAAATTCCTTGGAAACTATGCTATCTATACTCCCCCCTGCTCCCTCCACAAACTTAAAAATATATAATCTGTCGCACCTCACAATTACGGGGCAGCTCTTTCTGCTCAAGGGTCCTCTCCCTGTGCTATAATAAAAACACATTTTTGGCACCAAAAATGTCTCAAGAATTCTTTCTTAACCGTTGCTCTTGGAACCACACTTCAAATCACATTAATAGCATGTTCTATATTATAGCACTTAGCACTTAATTATAATTTAGAAGTGTGAATTAGGGTGCCTGGGTGGCTCAGTCCATTAAGCATGAAGCCCCCACTCTGGGCTCGTACTCTTTCTCTGTCCCTCTCTCTGCACCTCATGGGATTCTCTCTCTCTCTGCCTCTTGCTCACTTGAGCTCTCTATCAAAAATAAATAAATAAATAAATTTATAAATTTATTTAAAAAAAAAAGAAGTGTGAATCTTTGTCTCTTTCAGTGTATTTCCAAGACAAATATAAATAATTCCTGGTTTCCTCCTATATTTTCTTCTCCTTCATCAATGCATTTTTTTCATTAAACATCCACTAGATATATGTTGAGGATCTGTTATATGTCATTATATGCCACGTTCTATTCTTTTAGACAAAAATTCAGGAACTCACAGTTAAACATAAATACATGAATACACATAGAGGCAAGAAACAAGACTGAAAAAAAGAATAGTAAAAGGACGACTACTAAAACTGAGAATCCAATATTAGTATGTGGGGACAGAGTGTACAGGGTGAGTGTGACAGACTGAGTGGGTAGAAAAAGGAAAAAAGAGACAGAATGGTAAGAGACGAGTAGGATGTTGCCAAAGTAATCACCAGATGCTAGTGCTTAATATAAACTGTATTTAAGCAGACATGCAAATCTATTCTACATGAATCTTTTAAATTCATGTTTCAAAAGTTATCTGCTAGTAATCCTGTGGGTAAAAATTAGATTAAGACTAGCGACATCTGGTGGATATTTTGAAAGTAATCCTTGAATTTCTCTACTGTGTAAACACTACAACAAGCCCCCATACCTCTGGACTGACATTCATAATATGTTAGGGTTCATAACTATGATGAAATCATCTTTCTTCAGAACCTAAGATCTCATTGCAAGAGGTAGCCAGATTTCTACCAAGAAGCCTTCTATCTCTCAGCTTTCTGGAGGATGTATATATAATTTGACACCAGGATTCTTCCTTTACAAGGTAACTTGTTACTTAAAATGTTCACATTCTTTGAGGTAGGGATTCTACTTCTGGAACTCAACCCTAAGGAAAAGAAGTCTTAAATGAGGAAATCAATTCATTATTTACAATGGGTGAGGAGAACCTAAAAGTCCAACAAACAGAAAAATGGTCAAGAAAATTAGAATCATTATAATGTTTACCAAACATTTGTAGACCTACTAAAACAAATATTTTAACAATTTCTTATTAACAAACATTAAGTTAAAAAAAGCAAAAGTCAAAAAGTGTGTGCATGATTTAATCTTAAATATGTAAGTAATATACATATAAAAAGGCTAGGAGAAAATTCTACATTCTAAAATATTAACATTGAGGGCTTCTGGATGGAAGCATTATTGTTTTTTTTTTAAATCATGGTTTGCAATATTTCTTAAATGCTCTATAATTGTCATGAATTATTTCTATAACAAACATTTAAATCTTTTAAACAATGCATATATTCTAATTGCTATAATTTTCAATAAAATCTTCCTGATTTTATTAGTAATGAATCAAGGGAGCTAGAATTTCCACAAGAAGGGGTAGCAAGAGAAGAAAGCAAATATATGACAATTTTGTTCCAGGATCTGAGTCCTGATGGAGAAACCCCAGTTGTAGAACTGTACTAAAATTCCATTAATGTCATCACACTCCTTTCAACAGTACACCAGAAACTTACAGAGGGCTCTGTGGGCAGCAGGGAGTTACAGAGTCTCCTAACCACTTGAGTCCCCATCTTCAGAGTGCCTAGAAAAGCCGGATCAGGGCCACCTTAAAATAGGAAGAGGGAGAATGTGCAAAAATACAGAAAAGGAAAAAAACATTCCAAAGATAAACCAATCTATTAGGGTCAGGCTCCTGCTCCAAATCTACCAACATATGCCATCTAAAAGTTTCAGAAATAGTACCCTGGTTAGTAAGAAATCCAGCCAAAGATACTGTAATCACAACAGGGCTATCCTAGGGGCATTTTAAAAACTACCCACTTAGGCTTAATAATAATAAAGTAAAAAGCAATGCTTCCCTATCAGTCAAGCAAGGATGCATTTTCCCTCCTCCCTATGTTTATCAGTCAACGATCATAGGAAGGATTCTGAAGACAATCAGGACAAAACACTGGGAGCTCAGCTTCTGCCATGCACTTCTATTCACCCTCAGGAATTCCGTTTTAACGTAGAAAGGCCGCATTTATATTTTAAGGCAGAAATGTTTTACGTAGTACTTTAAGTTTACAAAGTCTTATCACCTACATTGTCACATTTGACCGTCATGGTAAGTTACCGTTGGATATAAAGTTCACTTTATTGCCCCCCAGTTAATAGTAGCAGGCTAGGGAGTTGCTCTGCCAATTAGTGATGAAGTTTTCTAGTCACTTCTTCTGAATCCACTTGCACTAGGTCCGTGCCAGAGAACAGGGTGGGAAAATGATGATACTGATGATAATGGCAGCCGATATTTGATTACATACGATGTACTGTTCCAAGTGCTTTTTAACTACAAACATTCTACATAGTTGGTACTATTATTTAACAACTCTCTCGTGCTGTGATTCCATTCTCAGTACTGTGTCAGTCTTAAGGAATCATCCCTCTCGGGGATAAACTGAAGGGCGTTGGTATTTGGGCAGGATGGCGTACAGACTGAAAGGGGATTTGCATTACTACTCGGGTCTCCAAGCTCTGAAAGTCTGAATCAGGAACGGCATCCTAAGAACCTGTAAGGCTTAGAGCGGTTCAGAACCTGAAACTTCCGCCTCCTTCTCCTCAACGCCGCCCCCCCCCCCCGCCGCCTCCATCTCACGCCTCCGTGTGTCCCCATTTCTGATCTGGAAGCTCAACCAGTGGTAATTCTATTTCCCAGGCACCTCCCACCTTTTACCACCTACCTCTTAACTCATCGGTCCGTCTGGTTCAACATCTCTGTCCCCAGCCCTTCTGAGCACGGCCTGCTGCAGCTGCAGGGCCGCCGCCGCCGCGTTCCCGCTGCCATGGTGACGCGGAGGCCGGGCCCGACCTGGCCCCGCCCACCACCGGCCAGCGCGAGCCAGCCCCAGCTTACCTGGGCCCCGCCCCCTGCCTGTCCGGCCCCGCCTCCTAACGTCCCCGACCACAACCCCCGGCGGGTCTTGACCCCGCCCCCTGCCTTCCGGACCGGCCTCCTGCGGCCCGAGCCAGCTCCGCCTCCTGACTGCCAGGATCCCGCCCAGGGAGCGCCCCCCCTTCCGCAGATGAGAGCCCGCCTCCTGGGCGTGCAAACCTCATCCCAGCTCCGGCTCAGCCAAGGCCTGTGGAGTAGGGCGCGAAGGGTCTGGATTTCCCCGCCGCCCTTAGGCTAAGCGAGACCTGCTGCACTTACGTAGAGCCCGCAGACCCCCACCCCGCAACACGCACCAGGCATGTTCCTTATGCGATTTATTGATCCCAGAGACTTTGCACCTGCGAGAGCCTACGGTCCAGCCAAAGGGAGTTTCCGGGTCATGCAGTGCTGTCAGTGACTTGAAATACGTGTAACCGGTGGTTAGGGGATTGCTTCCTCCACGCCTCACCCCTGCCCTCGTTTGTCTTTTTTAGGTTCTGAGACCTTTGACCCAACCATTGAGGGAATTGCCCAAGCCAGCCCTGGGGGCTGGTATGAGAACTCAGAATGCTTTTCCAGAGCACTTCTTCTTCAGCTTTAGATTTAAGGTGTATAAAAGAGACACCATCAAATTGAGCCTAACAATCAACTTAGGTGCTGAGGTAACCTGTTCTTCCTTCACTTTTCTTGAAAGCAAGAGCAAAGGTAGGGGTCAAAAAATTTTTGGCATGCTCCTCCTAGTCCCTCCTTTTGTGGAACTCCATCCGCCCCTAACCAGCCCCGAAACAACTCCAAGCTCACGGTGGCAAATTAAAGGTAGGCCTAGAGGAGAGAGCAAGAATGGGGGACTCTCACTGGGGTTCTGGAGTTAAGTTTAAAACGTGGCAGCCATCTCTGGGCCACCAGCCAATTCCCCAAAGCAGAAGTCTCCCCACAGGAGTAGTGGTGAAATGACAGAAACAGGCCCTTCCTCCCCAAGGCTCACACCAGGGTGCCGTTCTTGCTGTCGTAGCGGGGCGTGGCCTGGGGGAAGCGAAGGGTTGCATATTCTGTAGCATTTTCTGACTGAAGATGCTTCACTTCCAGAGCAGAGCGTGGCTGGGTACAGCTGTACACTTGAATGTCTGCATAATGTAAGCTGTTTTCCTTCAAACTAAGGCCTCGACTCCTCTCCTGAGACGCAGGCTTCTCTAACACCTGCTCATACATACGTCCTGTTGTGTCATGGGCCTGCAAGAAATTGACAGCATTAAGGGAGGTACTTGGCTTGCTTTTGCCCCTCATCTGCAAAGCAGGGTCAGCTATACTGATGTCCCCTCGCTCTGCTCCTTTGTAGGACAGAACCAGCAAGTTCTGGTTCAAGATGACCCAGATGCATCCCAGGGTGAAAAAGCGGGAACCTCAGATCCTATTTCTGAACAGCCCCCTGGAAGGGACGGGGGCCTATCATTACCTTGGTGCCATTCTGCTGCTGCTGCTGCTGCTGCTTCAATGTCCGTCTTGCTTGGCTTTCTGAGAGGCAGAAATCCACCTTAAATCCATTATCTCTTGAGCTGCCTGAGCTTGCCCTCTTTGAATGTCTGTTAAACTATTATAGTGGGCTTCTAACTAATCCCCCTGTCTCTGGGTTCACCCCTTTCCCTGCTACCATCCCCACATCCAAACTCCTTTCACACTCTGCCACTGATATCTTCCATCCTCAGTTTTCACCCACCCCTAACACAGTTCAACAAATATATGCTGAGAGCCTGTTGTATGCTGGGCTCTGTGACCCATTCTGGGCATTGGAGGATGAGCAGGCTATTTTCTCTGCCTCAGGGAGCTTACTGTCTGCTGGAGGAGACAGATAATCATACAGACTATTACAGTGCAAAGTGTGAGTGCTCAGCTACACCAAACAGTTGGTCACTTTCAATCAAGTCAGTCTCTTTCTCCTTCCTCCCTCCCCTTCTCCTTTCCTTCCTTCCTACCTTCCTTCTACATGAGATAATTGCCCTGCCTGAAATACCCTTTCCTCTGCTCCTCCTCCAGCCTGAGAATTTGCTATTATTCCTTCGACGTTGGTGTTTTCCCTCATTCTCCCATGGTGTGAGTATGAGTCTATTACAGCACTGGCAGACTACATCGCAGTTCTTGTTTATGTGTAAACAAGTCTCTCAGACTTGATTTGCAGCTCTTCTTGTGCTCCTCTACCTCCTTGGGACCCAGCAGCGCACCTCATATACACTGTAAGTGTTCAGTTCATTTTTGCTGGCTGAATGAAAGAATGAACAACCAAGCTTGCCACGCTAAGATAACAGAAAGAATGAGACCCAGAATTTCAGAGCTGATCTGGGACCCAGTGACCAAAAGATTTTCTCTGGTGTACTGTCTCCCTCTATCCCTTCCAAGGCTGCGACTCCTTTTCATTCTTACGCCCTTTCCAGAAACACTGGTTGGTTCTAGTACTTTCTCTTCTCTAATTTGACCACTCCAAGCCCCCGCCCCCAAAGCCCAGTTACCCATTTTCTTTTTCCTCTGGGAAGTTGATGGGCAGCTCCTGTGAAGTGAAACACAGATCACCCACGTGTAAGAGTCCTGGCCTCTCTCTTCCCACCTTTATCATTTGTTCTGTGCCTCCTTAACATTCTGGGATGACCTTCCCTCACTTCCCTCTAACAACGATTCACCCTGAGCCAGCCAGAAAGTGTTTATCAAGGGTACCACATCTCTCCCACAAGGATGGCTCTGGAAGGTGGAGTGGTACAACTGACCTAACCAAACCCAAAATACAGCCTCAGGCAATCAGGCACAACACACCAGGGATATAGCTGGGTTGAGGGCTATTCTGGGATTGTCTAACAGGCTAATCCCAGCAGAGGGTAAGGGAAACCTGCCAAAAAATGGGATATTCCTGGATTCAGAGACCCTCTTGCTACAGCACTCAGTGTTTTGTTATTTTTCTTGTTCCACAGTCTCTGCTAACATAGGGTTCCCATTCTGGGAGTCACAGAAGCTGCCACAACCAGGGTTAACTAGTTAGGACCCCTCCAAGCCCTTTTCTAACAGGCAATCTCCCTCCCTGTTTCCATGTCCTTGTTTTTAATTAACAGAGAAAGTGAGAGATATTTAACCTTTAACATCCACAGCACAGGGAGCTCTGAATTTGGTGAGTGACTCAGCTCCCCTGCCCTTGCTGCAGGACAGACCTCATTCCTGAGCCCCTGGGGTCTCTAGTGGAGCCAGGGTGTCTACGTGATTGTCAACTGTTTGATGGCCAGAGAAAAACACTTGTCTGAGGAAATAGGCTGAATAGTTTGAAGCTTACTCCGGATGCTTTTTCTTGCTAGTACATTTCCAACTCTCACCAGCGCCAACCCTATCTGTTCTGACCTCTGTCTCCCTAATGAAATTTCCTTCTTTTGCTAACTAAATAGAAAAAGAGAGAGAGAGGGAAGCTTCTAAATCATGTCCATTTTACTGCTGCGGAAAAATCAGGATTTTCCCACACTTCTGACAGAGTTTTGTGTTTTGGTGTGGCTTTTGGTTTTAATGCAGCTTGCTGAGTTGAGAGCAGATAGAGTCACCATCGGTGGTGGAACTTTACAGGTGGTTCAGAAGAAAAAAACTCTGAAACCACTTCTAGGTCTTTCTACTTCTATTTTCTGCTTCTGCTACTTCACCTCTTCCCCCCCCTTTTTTTTTATATTTTTGTTATTAATTAATTTATTTTTTACCTCTGCCTGGTCATAGCCTTATCTTAGCCTCTAATTCTTTCCCCCTTGTTGCTACTGTTCTCCTACTTACTTCTACTTAAATGGATGAAGAGAATATAAGTTTTAAAGTCACAGATTTGGGTGACCCAATTTTAGTGAATGGAGCCTTTTCCCAAGTTGGATACTATATAATGCCTGGACACAACCTAAATGGAATATTCAGTTAGACTCACAGTTGACAGGATTTTATTTTTAGCTCAGAATTCAGGAAACTAAATGGGCACTCTCCTGTATTGGTAGTATGAAAAAAAATGACTCAATTTTCCAAGAATGCAATTGACAAGAAGTATAAGGAGGCTTAAACATAAAATGTGTATCCTCTGATGTAGCAATTCCATATCCTAAGAAATAATTAGGTGCAAATATGGATGCTCATTGTAGCATTATTTACAATTGCAAAAATAGGAAATACCCTAAATGTCCAACATCGGGAAATGACTACATAAATGGCATCTTCTATAAATGGAACATTGTACATCCACTTAAGAAAGCTGTGCAAGAGGACGCCTGGGTGACTCAGTTGGTTAAGTGTCTGACTGTGGCTCTGGTTGTGATCTTGTGGTTTGGGGGTTTAAGCCCCTCATTGGGATTCTGTGTGTGTGTGTGTGTGTGTGTGTGTGTGTCTGTCTGTCTGTCTGTCTCTCTCTCTGCATCCCCCACCCTCCTGCTCACACTCTGTCTCCCTCTTTCTCAAAAATTTGAAAAAAAAAAAAAAAAAGAAAGATGTTGGAAGAACACCCAATAGCATGGAAAATCTTAATCTTTGTCAAGTTAGTAAAAAGATAATAATGTTTTGGGATTAAACCTATGCACATAAACATTTCAGAAGGATTGCATGGAGGTGATCTTTCTGAGTCACTGTGCAGGTTGGGGTGGGCTGAGCGGGAGCGGGAGGGGGTCCTGTGCCCAGATGTTTCCAACTCTTGTTAAAAATGTTTGGGTCCCCACGAAGCCCTACTATACCCAATTTTACCAGGATATTTGGGTAGGAATGGGGTGCATAGGCTTCATCGTTTATAAGACCAGGGTAAAAGAAGTAAAGCTTTGAAAGCTTCCAGTCCTGCACCTGCTCATGGTTATCATTAACCCACTTTACTTAGAGTACACGTCAGGTGGAGCTTCAGTCTGGCTGTAAATCTCAGCAAACTGTTAGATGGGAACATGGAGCATTGCTGCACACTTGTGGACGTGTGGTTTCCTTTGTGGCATGAATAAATGTAACTGTGAGGTGCACCAAAGAAAAAAAAAAAAAAAAAAAACAAAGAAAGAAAGAAAGAAAGAAAGGAAGGAAGGAAGGAGAGGATTACATGGAAATATACTAAAATGTTTCTGTCATTTATGATTGCTATAAATATATTTAGTATATTTATCGTTGCTTATTTCCTGCTCTTTGATACTTTCCAAATTTTCTGTGGTGAATGTATTACTTTTGTAATCAGAAAATAATAATAATAATATTAATGATAAATTTAAAATAAAAATCTTTTTAGTTGTCATACTATCAGTCTCTGTAAGTTTATTGAGATAATGAGAAACAGAGGGAAACAACATTTATCTACTTAAAATATCTACTAATATTGATCTACTTAAAATATCTACTAATATTTTAAGAGGAAAAAAGTATATTTTGGTTAGAATATCGGGGGGGTAGTGTTTCTAGCCACGCTCTAGCGCCAGACTGATGTTATCAGATTAGCTGTGTGAATTTCAGCAAGTTTTTAGCTTAATCAGGCTTTCATTTTCTTATTAATAAGGATAATAACAGAACCTAAACCCCATGGATTGTCATAAGAACTACATAAAATAATTAATGTAAAATACTCAGCTAAGTGCCTGACATATAATGAGCATCAGTGAAAGCTGATTGCTATGATTACCACCATCAGAGGAAAAATTAACCAAAAATGAAGAATATGAAAACTTGGAACAAAGGAAGTGAAAGAAGTTGTTACACTCTTTTCTGTAGAAAATCTTATATGTTCCTAAATGTCCTGTGTCTACGGGATATCTGAGAGTTTTAAAAAGTGAATTTTTTCCTCCCAATCCTGATAAAATTCTGGGAAACTTATCATTGTTTCCGTCTTACAGAGAGGTCAACTAAGGCCCTAGAACTTTGGTATCTTACTCAAGGAGGGAGGGGCCAAATTTCCCATTATTGCTACGTCCTCTGCATCTGTCATTATACGTGGTATATATAGGTATTCAATATAATACTTGTTTGATAAATGAATGAGTAATAAGAACTGGACTTGAATCCAATGTACAGATTCCAAATCATATGTGCTTTTCAATGTGCCTTATCTATTTTTCTAAATATAATGATGATTTTTTTTTTTTTTCACAAGCAAGACATCCTCAAGACTGACCCAGGCTTGGAATGTATAGCTAAGAAAACAGTGAACAGGATAAAACCAGGTCCGGGAGATTGGAGTGGTTACAACTCTGGGAAAGAACAGTAAAAACACTATGAATAATTTACTGTGAGGCTTTCACATATCCTCTGCTCTTCAAACCTATGATCTAAACAACACAGGTCATGCTATCTATATTGTACACATGAGGAAAAAGAGAAGTTACAGGATTTGCCGAAAGTCACACAAGTGTGAAAGCTATATTCAAATATTTCATGGATATTCTCTTTTTCTCCACTTCTACCCCTTTAAACAAACATTTCTCCAAAGTTGATTTCCTTGATTTGAGAGGGCAGAATTATGTAGTGGTTAAAAGTCTGGGCTGTGAAGTCAGACAGGCCTGGATTGGAATGTTGATTTATTTGCTCACTAGCCATGTGACTTGGGACAAGTCAACTTCTCTGAACCTCAGCTTCTCAGCTGTAAAAACAGAAGGAGTAAGGCCACCTCCCCTCATAGCATTGTGGGGAAGAGTAAACGAGATTGTTTGAAAAGTGCCTGGAACACAGCAAGCTCGCCAATGCTATAATTAATTATCATCATCATCTGGGAAAGAAGGGAAGGGAGAGAAAGGAAAGGAGAGGAAGAGAAGGACAGAGAGAAACCATGCCAATTCACCATTCCCATCCTGCTCTGGCCCATTCTACCGTCAGCAGGCTTGGCTGTGTTCTCTGAAAGACGTGAGCACAGAAAGAGGTAATGCTCTGGTGTTGGCACCCGGGAGGTGTGCCAGGCAGAGGGAGGTGGCTGTGGGAGGTTGGTAGAGAACTAGCTGCACTCTTTCTCTTATTCTCTTGGCCTGCGTGTCCACGAACAGAGATGTTACCCTCCACCCCCTGCCCCTACTCACCAGTGTCCCCCACAGCAAAGCCGGTTTCCCATGGTGCTCTGTTGCCGCGGAGGGAGCCCAGCTGTTTTTCTACATAAAGAGGCTTGTGCATTTCCTGGTTCCTGGTTTAGCTTTCAGTAAGAGCTCCCGGGGAGTCTCTATCAGTGTCAGATTTCAACCTAGCAGGTTGGACTTTGGAAGCCACCTGCTGGAATGATTCCCAGGTGACTGTTACCAGCCAAGTGGTAGAGGAACACACGTGGGCTCCAGGTGAGAGCTATCTCACCTTTGGGATTTGGAGCTGCTTTGAAGAAGCCATAACTTTGAGCGTCAAGCTTCAGTGAAAAGAAACCTGAGATGGCAAAGGGCTCTGGGTTTCCTTAGTAAATGTTTCTCTACTACATCACACGGTCATTGAAATATATTCTCTACAATGGAGTCAAGGGTCTTACCTTGTGTTTCCCGGTACTACTCAGGTTTAGTGGAGTTTCACTTTCAAGGTAATCAGTATCAATTTCTCATTATCCCTGTCCAGAATCTGGGTTTGAATACTGGAGTCTCTAGGAAATTTTAATTTAGGGAAATGGGTTCCTTTCATATCCTCCCTTGCTTTTGGAATTGATGTGAGCAGATCACTTTTTTTCCACGATGGTGAAAGAGAGGAGGACTAAACTCATTACCTAATCCCCTTTCTGGTCAGAAATCACATGGTTCTATGACTGGAATGGCCTCTCAGCACATCTTGACCACTCACTTCCTCATGTTCAGTACAGAACTACAGAATCTCTGCTTCCAACTCAAGGCAGACTCTCCCTCCAATGACCCAAAGTTAGAAGCATTCTGCACTCACCAGCGAGCAGGGTACAGTCAAGCAAATTCCTCCATAGAAAATGTGGGCTCTGGGAGAATTTGCGAAACCCATAAGGCTTGTCTTCAGGGCTCCCACCCGCACACTGCCCAGATGCCCTGTTATTTGTATGCCCCTTGTGGATGTTCAGGACCCACCACTCAGCCCTGCACTCCACAGAGCGTACACTGGACATTTCCTTCCTCCCCATCCTGTCTCCTTGTGAGAAATGGGCATAATGAGAGTGAGAGTTATAGAGGATTGGGTGAAGATTACGTGAGATAATGTATACAAAGTTCTAGTCCACAGCCTGGCACATGGGAAGCTTTCAGTAAGTCCTACCTATTGTTATCACTTCTTCTCAGCTAATTGTCAGATGGCAAAGCATCTCACTTTATCATCTTGTGCTGGATCATTGCACTAGCATTTTACTTCATGGCTATGCTTCTTCCTAGCAAGCCCTTCTATGTGCCAGCATCAACAGTATTCTTTTCATCCTGATATCTGAACGTCTTAGCCTGGCACTCAAAGCCCTCCAACAACCTGGTCCCTTTTCAGCCACTCTCTCAAATTTAAAGGAAAAATTTCAAGAAAAACATCAAAGAGATTTTATGACCAGAAACTCCAAAGGAACCAACAGTGTATTGTGGTACCCAGAAAACCTGATCTACCTTAAGCAGTATTAATAGAAGTCTACAGTGATAAACAAGGGAATTGATTATTCCACTGAAGTCTGTATCAGTCAGTCCATGACTAGAATAATAATTTTAATCCACATGTTGAATTCCAAGTTACACTGTCAAAAGGCAATGTGTTCTAGAGAAAGTTGTCTAGGTGATAAACAGTTTGGAAAGTTCTAGGGGTACCTGGCTGCCTCAGTCAGAGGAGCATGTGACTCTTGATCTCGGGGTTGTGAGTTTGAGCCCCATGTTAGGTGTAGAGATGGTTTAAACAAACAAACAAACAAACAAACATTTTTTGAAAAATAAACTTTCTAAAAAAGTTTTGTAAGATATAGTTAAAAGAATTAGGCATGTTTACTTGGGAGAGAGAAACTTTAAGAGGACGGGATAGTTATTTTAAAATATCTAAAAGGGGCTTCCAAGTGAAAGAAGGATTACATTGATTTTCTGGACACAACCAGACCAATAAGCAGAAGTTACTGAAATGAAGATTCTGGGCCAATAGAAGGAAGAATTTATTAGAATTATGTCCAAAGAGGGGCGCCTGGGTGGCTCAGTCGGTTAAGCGGCCGACTTCGGCTCAGGTCATGATCTCGCGGTCCGTGAGTTCGAGCCCCGCATAGGGTTCTGTGCTGACAGCTCAGAGCCTGGAGCCTGTTTCAGATTCTGTGTCTCCCTCTCTCTGACCCTCCCCCATTCATGCTCTGTCTCTCTCTGTCTCAAAAATAAATAAACGCTAAAAAAATTAAAAAAAAAAAAAAGAATTATGTCCAAAGAGTTCTGATGAAGAACTGTGAGAAAGAACTTACAAAGTTCCCCATCACTTAAAATGCCCAGAGAGGGGCGCCTGGGTGACTCAGTTAGTTGGTTAAGTGACCGACTTTGGCTCACTTCACAATCTCTCAGTACATGAGTTCAAGTCCCACATTGGACTCTCTGCTGTCAGTGCAGAGCCAGCTTAGGATCCTCTGCCCTGCCCCCCCTTTCTCTCTGCCCCTGCCCTGCTCATGCTCTGTCTCAAAAATGAATGAAAAAAAATTTTTTTTAATGTCCGGGAAGAAGTTGACTAATGGTCATAAAAGAGTTTGAATGGTGTGGGGATTCGGACTGAATCAGAGATTTCAATTTTTTTTTCTAGCTAAGGAACCCTCTCTTTTATTTTTTTGATAATTTTTTTAAATGTTTATTTATTTTTGAGAGAGAGAGAAACAGAGCATGAGTTGGGGAGGGGCAGAGAGAGAGAGGGAGACACAGAATCTAAAGCAATCTCCAGCCTCTGAGCTGTCAGCACAGAGCCCAACGCAGTGCTTGAACTCATGAACTTTGGTATCATGACCTGAGCTGAAGTTGGATGCTCAACCAACTGAGCCACCCAGGTGTCCCAGGAAGCCTTTCTTTTAAATAAAGCTCCCGTAAAAATAACAATTACAGAATAGATCATTGTAAAGTCATTTTGGCTGAAGTCCAATTAGAATCCTTTCTAATCTCCTTTTCTTCACAACTAGATGTAAGTTTCCCCAGAGTAGACAATAAAAGAGCATAGTTTTTAAATTTTATATTTGTAATGTACATCCTCCATAGTATATTACCTGGGGGTTGATAAATACTTGTTGAATGAATGGATGAACAAAAGAATATATCAATAGTTTTTTCTCTGATGCATGCTTTCATTATTAATAGATGGTAATCTTTTAACCAAGAATTGAATTCTTTGAGTGAGGGTTCTTATCTTGGGAATTCACAGATGCCTACGAAGGGGTACATGAATGGATCCCAAGAGCTGTGTGAACCTATTCAAATTATAGGGCAAATGTGAGAGCACATATATTTTTTCTGCTAACAGGATCTATTGCTTTTGCTAGATTTTTCACCCGGGTCTGTAACCTAAAAAAGTTCAGAATCAACCACTGTAATGGAAGAATTTGAGGTGTCCACCACAATCTGGTAAAACATATATTTTTGGGGGCAGGGGAGCTCGTCTGGACAGTCCTCAAATCATACACATGCAATGAACTACAAGGAGGAATTGAGAAGTCAGGCACGCACGCTTTCCTGAACACAGCATATCCCTCGTATTAAGAGTCTGCGTCCAAAGGAAGGTTCTCTGGCCATCACCACCACACAAGTAATCCTAGACCCCCTGTATTTAGACTCGGATTGGGTGGGTGATGCAGTGATTCCTCTCTTTAGGATGTTCCAAGACTAGAAACAAAAGGTGTCCCTGTGCGGAGGTTGGAGAGACTTTGTGGTTTGGTGACAGTGGCAGAGGCTCCTGTGTCTGTGCCCTGCATAGGCATACTCCATCGCTCAGAATTAGACACCATTTTCAGCAGACAGACCTTACTACAGGAAAACAGGGCTTTAGTCAACGCTCCCCAGCCTCAAACGATTTCCCCAACCCCTACCCAACACAGGCCAGACAGGCTGGAGACCCTTGTTTTTGTGTCTCTAATCACCAGCTCAGACAGTGCCCTCTGGGCTGTTTGGATGGCATATCCCTTTTCCCTCCCAGGATCACTCTCTCTTTTGTTGCATTGTGAGAAAATTATGGCTAGGAATTTGATCTGGAGCCAGTGTCAGCTTCCGGGTATGATCTCAGCATCCAAGTGTGAGCTCAGGGTGCTGTGACGTTGTGTACATCTAACTGAGGAGCTTTTTGTCTAGCTGGCTATGACCTCCTCCCTCCCTGCCCATCCCATCGTCCAGGCCACAGAATAGGGAGAAGCACAGACAAGGCCCTGAGATTGGGGTTTATTCAGCTCCACCCAGGACTAAACAAACACTTTGACATGTCTCAAGGGACCAAACCATACATTGTGGGCCATGCACTTTTCCCTTCCCCCAAGGATGCTGCTACCTCTGGGGCGGTGGGCAGCTGCTCCCATCACGGCGGGAGGTGGAAAGGGCTCACTGGGTGCTGGCTCCAGGGCACTCAGGGCTCCACTCTGCCTGCCTCCTCCTCTTCCTCTGGATCTGGAGGCGCAGGGAGCAGGGAGATGTAGACCTCGTTGACCTCCGTGTCCAAATGTCGGCCACCCCGAGGTGCCTCCAGGTTAAGGATGCCATCGTGGGAGAGAGCTGCGCGGACCCGCCATGGGTCCACGTCAGCAGGCAGGACATAGGTGCGGCAGAACTCTCGGGACACGAAGCCGTGGCGGTCCAGGCGCTGGGGGTGCCTGGCAGACACCTCCAGCAGGTTGTCCACAGTCCTTACAGTCACCTCATCTGGGGTGAAGTGGCTCACATCCAGAAATGCCTGAAATTTACCCTCACTGAGCCTGAGCTCCGAGGCCCCTGCCCTGCTGCCCTCCCCAGCTGCGGTGGCCCGGGGCCGCACATAGTAGCCGTGGTAGAGGGTGGGGGTCAGGATCTCTTCTGGCAGGAGGCCTGAGGGGCAGAGAAAGAAGGCAAGAGGCAGGATGAGGGAGAATGGGGTGGGAACAAGGGTGAAATGGGGAGATCAGGAGAGGAGGAGCAGGGAAAGCAGGAGAGGAGTCAGGAGAAGTAGGAAAATGAGGCGGGGGTGGGGGTGGGGGTGGGAATTAGCAACTGGAAGGAGGCAACTGGAAAGAGGGGACTGAGATGGGGAAGGAGACTGGGGGGTGGAGGAGGGCAAACCAAAAGGGGGCTGGGTGGACAGAAGGGGAACCGGAAGGCACAGCGAGGGGGTCAGGGACAGGCATGGGAGCCTCGCGGGCACCGCGTCTGCCCCGAGGTCAGTAGGAAGGGGACCGAGCCCTGCTTGGCTGGGGACGGAGGGGGAGTTTGGGGTGGGAGATGGCTCGCCCCAGGAGTTCAGTTAAGCCTGCAGTGGGGTGGAGGCCAGTACCATTGGGAGGTCAGCCCAGAATTTCAGGAGGTGGGGGTGGGAAGCAAGGGGGGTGGCGTCTGTGCCATACCTTCTCCGAAGCGCTGCTCGCCCAGACGGCTGGGGTTGGCGAATTCGTACTCGGTGGTGGCCGGGTGGGCATGTGGCACCGAGCGGCCTGACATGGCTGTAGAGGCGTCGGCGGCCCTGGTCCGAGGTGCAGCGACCCCTCCAGCTGCCTGGAGAGCCGGGGCTCGGTCGGGGGTGGGGGCGGGGTCTACACCACCCAAAATAGTGCCGAGCCTGGGGCGGGGGAGGGGCGGGGAACCGGGGCCCTGAGCGCCAGTGACAAGTGTGCGACCAGCCCCGCCTGGACCCCCGTGCTCTCCCCCCCCTCCCCCCCCCACCCCCGCCTCACACCCTTCAGCTGTCACAGACTGCCCGAAGGGACAGCTGGGGGTTCTGGCTGGGCAGCCAGCTGTGGATGGGGAGGCTGGTGTGGGAGGCCCTGGAGAGGCCTCGCTGAAACCCTCAGTTTGTACATTTTCCACATTGCCTCCTCTCCTCCTCTTTCCCAGGCACCTTGCACCCTTCTTCATAAAGCTCTCCTGGTTTAAATGTTCTGTGTGCTATGGAAGGTGAGAGATGCAAGAAACTTTTCCACCTTTTCTTTGGGGTGGAGGGAAGGGTCCCCCTGCCCAGATCAATGTCAGAGTCCTTTCCTGAACCCGGGTAGACCCCGGGCACCACACAGATGCCTGGCACTGACTTGTTGGTGATCACTGCTCTCCTCTAGGGACCCACAAAGAGTTAATGTCCCTGGGGCCCAGCCTAGGAAGATTCCAGTTCCTGCCCAGGCCCAAGATAGTTGCTGGCCCAATTCCCCTGGCATGCTAGGCTGCAGAGGAGGAGGAGGGGCACAGCACCCTCCTGCTTAGGATTCCTGACTTCAACCCAACTCCAGAGAAGGGGGGGGGGGGGCCGCCATTGGGCGTGGACGGAAAGCTAGTGAAACAAGACCAGCACAAGTCACTGGCCAGCTCAGACGTGTTTGTATTTCTCTTTTCTTAGCTCAGTGAGTACTGGGTATGTGTCACACTGCCAAATCCCCGATCACAAGTCTCCATGAACGGGCGGTGAGCTGGGATAATAAAACTCCTGACATCACCATTCCAGAAGCTTCACAAGACTGCGTATATAAGGGGCTGGCTGTTGCTGCGGCTGAAGGAGCTGACCAGCCAGCTGACCCCCTCTACTCACCTAGCCACCATGGACATCGCCATCCACCACCCCTGGATCCGCAGGCCCTTCTTCCCTTTCCACTCCCCCAGCCGCCTCTTTGACCAGTTCTTCGGGGAGCACCTGTTGGAGTCTGATCTCTTCCCAACTTCTACGTCCCTGAGCCCCTTCTACCTCCGGCCACCCTCATTCCTGCGGGCACCCAGCTGGATTGACACTGGGCTCTCAGAGGTAAGTTTCCCTCTGCCAGGACAGGAGAGTTCTTCCTGGAACCTCCTGGAAACCTATCCACCTGCTCTCCTTTTTCTCCTTGCCTACATCTGGCTACATCTAAGTGTTTTAGGCACTTGTGTGTCCACCAGGGAAGAAACACTGGGTTACTGGTTCTTTCACCCAGTTGTCTGTCTGTATCGGATGCTCTTCTGTATCCTACTTTACTACATTTTTTTCCATGTGCTGTGAAAATCACCCTCTATCCCCTAACTTCTAAGTAGGATGCCCCTTTCTGGTTTGATTCATAAAGATCCAGGGAAAGATCTGCCTTCAGACTCCTTTGCTCACCTCTTCTAATCCCTCATACTCCTGATAAATTTTATTACTTCAAGTTTCCTGCCTCATGCTGAGTTTTTCATCTCCACTGCATGGAGCTGGAGACAGCAACCACTATTTTCTTCCTTTCAATTCCTTTGTCTGTGGTTTCCCAGGTTTCTCAGGGCTGTGACAGGGCACTGACCTGGGCCCATACCTAAGGAGAAAAGAATATAGGCCAATTCTTGGGGCCCCTCCTCACTTGTCCTAAGAAGGTGGGAGAATGGGGTGAACAGATAAGATTAACAGAGCTGTCACAGATAATACACTGGTTTAAAAATATTCAAGTATGAGTAAACAGGAGCTGAGTGAGCAAGGGCTTTGGAAGGACAATCAGGGCTAGGAGAACATTCCAGATTGAGTGGGTGGGAAACTTGGCACAGGTCTGAGCAAGAAGAAGGGGCCTTTGTCTCATGGACAAATGACAAGGCCGGGCATCAGGGTCAGAGAGGCAGCAGAAACCTTGCCCAGATCCATCCTTTTGATTGGCCTGGGTGGCCTGTCTTCTTTCCTGTCCCTGTAAATAAAGTTAGGATCTGATGCCCATGTGCTATGCCTTGGGTATCACTGTGGTGACTCCCCTGAACCAGAGAGCCATGTTTATTCAAAATGGGATTTTTTTAGTTAAAAAAAAAAAAAAAAGAGGATAAAGTCTGCAGAATGATGAGACTGTACTAGTGTGATCCACATTCCTACCATCTTTTCTCCCCCTTGCCACTTCTAGATGCGTCTGGAGAAGGATAGATTCTCTGTCAACCTGGATGTGAAGCACTTCTCTCCAGAGGAACTGAAGGTCAAGGTGTTGGGAGACGTGATTGAGGTGCACGGCAAACATGAAGAGCGCCAGGTGCGTAGCTTGCTTTCCCTTCTCATTCATTCAGTGAAAACTATATGCCAGACGCTGCCATCAGCCTCTGAGTCGGGCAACCTCCAGTCTTAAGCCAGAAAGGTCTGGGACAGGGACAGACCTGCTATTGTTGTTTGGGCCAGAGAAGTGATCTTTGTTGTTCATTCTGATTTGATTGCCTTAGGTGGGATAGATGGGATGTTTACTTCCCATTTAAGCCCGTAGTTTTTGGCCACCTTAGAGTCACTAGGGGAATGAAAAAGTTCCAGTGCTTAGGCATATTACAGACCAAAATTTTTAGGGGTGGGCACCAGGCATCAACATTTTTTAAAGGGGCAAGGTGGGGGGAAGCTCCCTAGGTAATTCTAACGTACATTCAAAGTTGAGGACCACTGATTTAGGAATAGCATTTGTTGGACGTGTGGTTGCTTTACGTCACTATATGAATTGCAGGTACCCTGAAGACCCTTGACTTTGGGATGTTGTTTTCATATGCTCCTGAATCCTCTCATCTTTAGCCCATCTAAATGCTCAACAACTGGCTTTGCCTAAGTTTCAGAGCTACACTCAGCAGCTAAAACCCTGCAGCCCATGTGGAAACCACTTAATTGAGAGCCTGTCTGCCTACATGCTGGTATAAAGATTAGAATCAGCTAGTGTTTAGCAGAATCCTAGAATATGGAACAGATTCTCATTAATTTCTGGGAGGGTTTTTAAAATGTGGCAGCTGCTGACCAATTGTTGATAACTCTGATACTTGTGCATCAGACAGTAAGGTTTGAGGTCCTCAGGCTGTTTCAGTTTTGCTTATGGGATTTAACTTTGGGTCATAGTCTCCCTGGGTGAAGTTTTGTTGCTCTTGTTGTTGTTTTTAGCAGCAGTCCTATTGGTCTGGAACATTCTGGGACATTCCTGAAGAGTCAGGACAATTTTTGGGCTTCCTTAGGGACTCAGATCTTCAATGATGGACAATATTCTAGATCCTGTAGGCCCAACAAACATTGATCTAAACCTTTGGGAAATACCCATAAAAATATCCATGCCTCAATTTGGAGAGCCTTCAAGGTTTTGCTCCTTGACGTCTCAGACTCTCCTTGGTAGGAGTGACCACCTAGGCAACTTTATCTCAGCCCCAACCAGAACAGCTGTTAAGTTTTCCTCTCTTGTTGCAAAGGCGTATGGTCACACCTAAGGGGAAGAAGGATGTCTGAGTTCTCAGCAATTGGTGCTACTTCCTGTTCTTACCTCTCTTTTTCCTCATTTCCTCATTTCCTCTCTTGGATTAGGATGAACATGGTTTCATCTCCCGGGAGTTCCACAGGAAATACCGGATCCCAGCTGATGTGGACCCTCTCGCCATTACTTCATCCCTGTCATCTGATGGGGTCCTCACTGTGAATGGACCAAGGAAGCAGGCCTCTGGCCCTGAGCGTACCATTCCCATCACCCGTGAAGAGAAGCCTGCTGTTACCGCAGCCCCCAAGAAGTAGATGCCCTTTCTCTGACTGCATTTTTTAAAACAAGAAAATGTCCCCACCAATGAATGAAAATCTTGTGATTAGTGCTGAAGCTTATTAATGCTAAGGGCAGGCCCAAATTATTAAGCTAATAAAATACTATTCAGCAACAGATAACTGTCTTGTGTTTGAATATTCTGTGTTTTAAAAAATTAATGTGGACATACAGCAGACCCATTTAGTCACCGCATTATGATTTAGGGGCTTCTGGGGATATTAGAGTCAGAATGGCTGTCTCCATTACTTACTAAGAGTGTAAATTTCACAAGCCACTTGACCTTTCTAGCCCTTAGGTATTACATTTGTAACATGTGGCACTGATTTGTAGACTGTTGTGAGGAGTAAATTAAGGAGAAAACAGGTAAAACCCTTGGCAGAGTTCAAGGAATATCAGTTCCTCTGTCTCCTTCCTTGATTTCAGCCCTCATTTCCAACAATAAATCTGAACAAACTCTGGATAACAATGCATGAAAGGCCTTAGTGAGTCTGCAATTCATCATGTGGCCAGGCAGGAGGTAGTGCCCCCAATGGTGACATTTTCCTGCTGCCTTCAGCTGATTCACAAGAGAAATAACCAGGACTTACTTGGGCGACTATCACCAAACAAGCCTTTCAGTCGTAATCCCTAAATTATTTAGCAATAAATTTTCCTTTGAGAACCAATTCAATGACTGCCACCCACCATAAAAAATTGTTTTAGAATTACAATTAATCATTGATCAGTAAGGGATTCTATTATTTAGCTTAAACAAAGACAGTTTACTCTACAAAAACACCCCATTCCACTTGTGGTTCCAGACAAAACTTCTGACTCAATTAATGAAAAATAGCCCTGGTGTGGGTTATCTGGGATAAATGTTTGCAGACAACTCCTATTTTGCTGTAGCAGCATCTACCTAATTTCTGACCTCCCACAACGACTGACCATGAGGTGAAGTGAGATTCCTGCCTCCACAACGCCTACAGATTGGAGGTTGGCCACACTTTTAAAATATTCTACACAAAACAGTTGCCGACATTTTTCATGATGCAGGGGTGTGGAGCTAGGACGATATAAATTGCACATCTATACAGGTTCAAAATGTTCCCTCCTGAAAAACAACTTCCTAATAATCGGAAATGCCATGGTCTAGCCAGCTAATTTTTGTGGCTGTGTTGCAGATACTCTTG